TACGGTATCAACTTGGAAGCAGTGCCTAGGATTAAATAGGTTATGATTTCTTAAGTGCTTCCAACAGTGTCCAGTACTTCGTAAGCATTACATAATGCTCACAAAACTAATGAATAGCAGTATGCATGTACATACCTGTATTTTGTGGTATACATTTTGTACAGATATGTTTGTATACGGGTATGGTAAGTGCTAGGGACACACTGCTTGTCTTCTACAACAGCATTGTAAGGTGAGCAGAGGTGTTAAATAACCTTCCTGTACCTAGTAATTTGTAGATCCATTTCTAGGACCCATGTCTTCCAACTTCTGAGCCAAAAGCCGAAAGGCAAAACCTATAGGCTTAATCCATTGATTTTCCACATCACATGCATAGCTTTCAAGTACATAATGATTTCTTAACACTGAAAGTGGAAACTTTACTGCAATTACTCAGATGATCTTGGTTTAAGCCACAGTAGAAGAATCAGATATATGAGATGTGCCTGTCAGTAAGAAATGGATAACAAGGGAAAACCCAGTGTTGCAGCGCCAGGAAGTGGGTCACTTTCTGCCGAACTGTATTCCCTCTGCAGTTGAGGAAAAGGAAATTAAGTGTGCTGAATGGAGACCTGTGCATGAAATTATAGTAGAGAATTCCTATAGGAAAAAGTGCTCTTGGACTTCTAAGTAAATATATGCCTATCATGTTTCATTTCGTATGCAAAAACCTGTGTTGGCAGTCAACTGACAGAGAGCCTGTTGACTTCTCTAGTTCCTATTTAGGATATACGTTGGAGGGGCTGGCATAGTGATGCACCAGGCTAAGCTGCCACTGGCAACAGTAGCATCCCACACTAGAGCTCAAGTCTGACCCTGGGCTGCTGCAGTTGTGATCCAGTTGTCTGCTGATGCACCTGGAAAGGCAGTAGAGGAATGGCTGCCACCCATGTGGGAGACCTGGATAGAGTCTCTGGCTCTGGGCCTCAGCCTGGGCCAGCCCCAGTCATTGTGGTCATCTGGGGAGTGAACCAGCAGATGGAAGATATCTCTCTCTCTCCCTCTCTCTCTCAGTATCAATTTTTAAAATACAGTTTTAAGATTTTTTTTCCTTGCCTATGAAAAAAGAGAATCGCTAAATACAGAACACACTTCCCTTCTGTCAACAGCTCACATTTTAAATAATGGAGTTTGTGCTTGCATTCATTTTCTGCAATTAGAGCTCTCAAAAGCTTTTAGTGTTTTTCTCCCCAACGTCTAAAAGTCATTCATTGTATCTGTTAGCATTTTAGAGAATAGTAGGATCCCTGAGTCAGACTAGAAAATTGAACTAAGCGTTCAAATGAGTTGAAGTAGAGAGTCTTCAGCTATTGTGTTGGACCACATGGTAATGAGATGTTTACACCCTTTTCCTGCCAGCCTTAGGAAAGACTCCAATGCTCTCATTTAAACCCAGACTAGTTAATAAGAAATACCCTGTTGACAGGTCAAAGCGTGTCTCTTAGCACGTGCCAGTTACGTGCTTCTTGCTAGCCCTCCATAGAAGTGTAAAGTATGTTGGGTCAGGTCTTTCCTTTGTGATGGATTCAAAAGAGCCATTTCTGAGATGCCTCATGCCATGTGGCCATGTCTTTTCCTGCTGTGTGGTGGCAGTCTCATGCTCCCATCTCTTGCTGTCAGCCCGGAGAGTAGGCAGCTAAGCAGCTCCCTGGTGTGCCTGGATTGTTTCCACTCTGATTGGAGGATGCAGCTAGAACCAGGACCTACAGGGTATGTGGAGTGGCTTCAGGCAGGCAAGATAAACAAAGCCTGGCCTAGGTACACAGTGAACCCACTGACCCTGCTGTTTGCCCAGCTGCACAGTGCCTCCCTTCTCATTCCCCAGTGCCCAGCTGCTTCCTAATGCTGCTTTTATTTATTTATTTTTTAACTAGAGTAGCCAACCAAACCTCCCCCAGATAGGTCTGATAATTACTAAAAACACACAACTTTCCATATACCAACGGCTTAGAAAAAGCTGCCCTGCCTTGCAGTCTGTCCCTGACTCGGTGCTTGTGTGGTACTGCCTTGGACGTCACCTGCAGCTCACATTTTTAAGGAAAGACATCATCAGATTTTCTGAAAATGAGAAAAGAGTCTTCATTAACCCCAGGTTTTACTCTCCAAGCAAAAGGCATGGCTGATCTTTCTGCCTTTTTTTTCTCTTATACAAACAGCGATTCTATAGGGTTCAACCGAATATGTTCATTCCAGTAATGTTTCTAGGACTCAAAACTTTATAAATTTATCTTTCAAAATGAAAAAGATCAAGTTCATTCATTACATATTACGTTAATCTCAACTTGTTAATATAACTGTACCCTAGTTATAAAATTGGCTCTTGAATAACTGGCTGTTGGAAAATTACATAGAACACATATTCTGTGGATGAGAAACATGATAATTTTTTTTAAAGTATCACCATTAAGTACTAGGTTCTGGTATGTTCCATAACACATTACTCGTATTTGAGTATAATTGTGCTAAAACACACACACACAAGCATCAAAATATGCCCAGTTGAATGGGACTATATGTTAACAACACATTGAAATTATATTGGGACACTATAATTTTTAGGTAAAAATCTCTGAAAATCTGTAGTTTTTATGGTTTTGCATCTAAAAAACATAGAAGGCTTGTAGAGATTTATAAATTATAGTTACTATGCATATTAATTATTTGAAAAATATTAAGCACTTATTAACCAAAGCATAGAGTGAATGTATTTCATCTGAAATGTTGAAAGTTTTTTAGGGGCTGGTGCAGTGGCTCAACAGGCTAATCCTCCACCTGCTGGCACCGGCATATGGGATGCCGGACTGCTCCACTTCCCAATCCCGCTCCCTGCTTGTGGCCTGGGAAGGTGGTGAAGGATGGCTCAAAGTCCTTGGGCCCCCCTGCACCGATGTGGGAGACCCAGAGGAAGCTCCTGGATCCTAACTTTGGATTGGCTTAACTCTGGCTGTAGTAACCATTTGGGGAGTGAACTAGCAGATGGAAGTCTCTCCTTCTCTATGTAAGTCTGCTGTGATTCACATAAAAATATTTTTTTTAAAAAAGTTTCAGATTTCTGATTATTTTTTAATTGTGGGATATTTGCATGAATTTTTACAGGTTGGTCTTTGGGGCTCTGTTTCAAATTTTGGTTTTTCAAATGCAGACTACTTAGTCTGTACTTTGACAGAAAACTCTATAAATCAGTTCTGTTTCTTTTAGATTTATAGAGTACAAATTATAGCATACTTTAAAGTTTCAAAAATGCACAATTCTCTAACCCTGTAGTTCTGGTTCTGGAAATTTAACATAGGAAAGATTATAGAGTTTTCTGCACAAATATTTCTGTGACAGGATAGCCCAAATTTTTACTATTGAGGTTTCATTAAGTTTATATTATACATGGAAATGGTACATTATAAAATATCTGTGTTCTACAGATTTTTCAATTTTATTAAGATGCAAATTATGTATGTCATTTACCTAAGCTTTATTTATTAGAAAGGCAGGAAACAGAGAGAAAGATCTTCCTTCTGCTGATTCACTCCCAAGATGTCTTCAGCGGCTAGGGTGAGGCCAGGCTGAAGCCAAGAGTCTGGTGCTTCATCAAGGTCTCACATGTGTGGCAGGGGTCCAGATGCTTGGGCATTAGTGGAGAGCTGGCTGAGCCAATTTGGGATGCTGGCATCGCATGGGACATCTTGATGTGCGATGTCACAATGCCATCCCCTGTATATATCATTTCATTTTTTTTAAGATTTATTTATTTCTATTGGAAAATCAGATATACAGAGAGGAAGAGAGACAGAGAGGAAGATCTTCCATCTGATGATTCACTCTCCCACTGGCTGCAATGGATCCCAAGCCAGGAGCCAGGAGCTTCTTCTGGGTCTCCCACATGGGTGCAGGGTCCCAAGGCACTGGGCCATCCTTGACTGCTCTCCCAGGCCACAAACGGGGAGCTGGATAGGAAGCGGGGCCACCAGGATTAGACCTGATGCCCATATGGGATGCTGGTGCATGCAAGGCGAGGATTTTAGCCACTAGGCTAGGCCACCGTGCTGGATCCTGTATATATAATTTCTAAGAAAAACACTGAGATAGTGATTATACCTAGGGTTTGTAGCACAGAAAATAAACCTATGAGCTATCCAAAAATGTTTAACAACAGGGAATTAATTTAATTCTAACCTAATCATATAAGGAAAGAATCTGTGAAAGTACTTAGTTTATTTTAGGAGAATATGTCACAATGCAAGAAAATGCCCAGATTTACTCATTGAAAAGGGACATTAAAATGACAGTATAGTATGATATAATTTTTTAAAAAGAAATGACTTACTAATTTTGAAACAGAGATAAATGTATGTTTGTATGTCTTTTCACAGAGCAGTAACTGTAGGACTTCATACCAAAATCTTCACAATATTTTTCTGCTTCTTATTTTCTTTATTTTGCCGTGTGTCATGTTTTCTACATTGGACAAAATGTTATTTAATCAGAAAAATGCTTTGCTAGACTTACGTATATAAACCTTGGAACTTACTTTTATATTTTGACAAACTTTATGTGGTAGCATTGCTTCAGTGAGCACTGCACTAACTTGGAGCTTTTGGGCTGGGGGCTTTCCGCGAGTCCATGGCTTAGTCTGGAGATCATTAACATTGGAGAGGAGCTTCTTGGAGAAGCATGTTTAAGCCTAAGAGAACTTTGCACATACATTGAAAAGTGTGCATAATACCCAGTAATTCATTTTTTTCCTCAAAGCCTCTTCCCAATGTGCCTCTTCCTGGAATATTTTGTTTGCTTATGTAGAACCAGTAGTCTTAATTCAGCTATTTTACTGACAACCTGGCTCTCCCCCACTGCCCATTGCAAGGTGGAATTTTTTTAACATGAATGCCATACAACGAACGGTGCGCATCCGCTGTCGAAGTGACAGGTGTGGACAGTCGTGCTGTAACAGCTGGGTCACTTTTTTCCAGGTGATGAAGACGTACCATATGTATCACGCAGAGAGCATCAGCGCAGAGAGCAAGCTGAAAGAGGCAGAGAAGCAGGAGGAGAAGCAGATCGGAAGGTCGGGGGATCCAGTCTTCCACATTCGACTGGAAGAGCGACATCAGCGACGAAGCTCTGTAAAGAAAATCGAAAAAATGAAAGAAAAGGTACATAAAAATACATGTCCCCCTCTGAGGACGCAGTCAGGCCTGGGAACGCTGAGGCAGTAGCAGAGCGACACACTTGGGGAATGATTGTGAAATGTGTTTCCTCCCATGGTAGAGCGAAATGTTTAAGACACACAATTCGTATAGTAACAGCTGGATATCAATCAGTGGCAGATGCCAAGGATCCAGTACACAATCTCGAGAACTTGAGTGCTAACAAAGATTTCATTGCAACTTGGCCCAAAGCCCAAATACACTGTTGTCGTTCCCCAACCACTAGGTAATTTTTAGTTTGTTACTTAGATCAGATTCACAATGTGCTTTTCACAAGGGATTTTGAGAGCCGCTTGTGTGTGTGAGATAAGTTGTTACACGTAACAAAAGTGCATGTATATTCCTCTGCTTTGCTTTCAAAAAATGTGCCTTGTTCATTTTCAGAGACAAGCAAAGTATTCAGAGAATAAGCTGAAGTCAATTAAGGCACGGAATGAGTATCTCCTAACACTTGAAGCCACCAATGCCTCAGTTTTCAAGTATTATATTCATGATCTTTCAGATTTAATTGATGTAAGTACCTGAAGTTTTCTTTTTCTTAATTAAATATAAACATGGGATTGTTACTAACTATATTTCACTGATTGGAAGACACCATGACAGCATCATTTATTAATGCTACTTTACATAATACACAGAGAGCAAACACACTTGCAATGAAACTGCATGTGGTACTAGGACTCCATCAATTGTGGCAAAAAGTGTGTGCCATAAAACCAGTGGCCCGAATCCACTTTTCATTACTTTAACTGAAATGCCTGCGAGGAGCTTCTGAACAGAAAAGGTTCATCTCAGCTTATAGAGAAAGGCTACAGGATTGGGCAGCTCTGTCATCCCTCATCTGATGCTGTTCCTGCTGGGTGCAGAGGTCACATGGTAACGCATGAAGCAGCGAGGGTGGGGGAAGAACCGAGGCCAAACTTGAACTTAAACAAATCAAACCTCTGGTGAAAACCACCTTTCCAGGACATCCCTCAATGAGCCAGAAACCTCCCTCCTCCCCCATCCCATTTCTGTCATTAGTTCCCCACGCAACCATTTACCTCACAGTTTATTATTTTTTAGATTTATTTGATTATTTGGATGTCAGTGTTTCAGAGAGAAAGGGAGAGATCTTCCATCTGCTGGTTTAACCTCCAGATGGTCAAAAGAGCTCGGGCTGGACCAAGCCAAAGCCAGGAGCCTGGAGCTTCCTCTGTGTCTTCCGCATGGGTTGTAAGGCCGAAGTACTTGGGTCATCTTCCACTACTTTTTCTTAGGCTACTAGCAGGATGCTTGACTGGAACTAGAGCAGCCAGAATATGAATTTCTGCCTGTATGGGATGCAGTGATTTGGGGAGGCAAATTCTGCTCCACCCATACTATCAGTGAAAACTGAATTGTGGGGTTCTGCTAGGCTTTCAGTGCCCAGCCAGCTCTGCTAGCAAGGTGGCCCTGTGCTGTATATTATGCAGTGGCATAGATATAAGTACATGCACTGATTCATAATATTTTTGGATCCCCGATATTATGAGATGCTGTGGCTCTAAGAAACCACATAGAATCCTTACTGCCTGAAATTTAAAGCCAGAAAGACAGAGGCTAAGCAAGTGACTATGCACAAGATTGCTTTATTATAGAAATGGTAATATTGTGAAGCAAAGTAGACTGCGTATAAACCATTTTTATGGATTTCTCCAAGTCTCAATGCTTTTCCCACATAGAATATGATATATAAAAGCAGTAATTGGACTCTTTTGGAACTGTCCAAATACGTGCTCTTACATTTGTGTCTTGCTTATCAGCACTGTTCCCCAGCTTTAAGCCTTTGCATCAGTCTTTTCTATCAATGACCACCCCAGTTGCTATATCCCTAACACTGTAGGATATAGCAAAGATGAAAGAGACAAAAAACCCGTGTCCAAAATTCCAGTATCTGCAAATGCATGGTAAAAAGGGCAAAGTATCATTAGAAAAGCATGGGAGTCAAAGAGGTCCAGGGAGTCGTTTGCTGGAGGTTTACTTGTCAGTTGCTTCGTATTGATTGGATTCAGCAGAGTTGTATTATAAAATGATTTTTGTAAATTAGCTTCACAATTTCAGCATTTATGCGTTCAAAAAAGTCTGGGTTGGCATTTGGTGAACAGATAAGAAGCTCCTTGGAATGCCCACATCCCAGACCAGAGGGTTTGGGTTGAAGTTCCCTCAGGCGATAGATGCAGTAGTTGAATTCCTGCCATCCGTTCAGGAGACCTGAGTGAACTCCCAGTGCCTAATGTTGATGGAACCCAGCCCTGACTATTATAGACATTTGGGAAATGCACCAGCAGGCTCAGCCTTTTGGAGATCTCTCTCTCTCTCTCTCTCTCTCTCTCTCTCTCTCTCTCTCTCTCTCTGCATATTGAATAATATAAATAATATTAACATCTGAAGTATAGCTACAGTGGATAACTTGTGTAAGGTTTCCCAGCTAGCATGTGGTAGACCTTACATGTTGTTTACTTCTTGATCTAGTTAAATCTGATCTGCATGGATAACAGTGAAATATACCAAATCATTTTCAATTTTTACAGGAGATTTATCAAAGGCAGAGTGACACAGAGAGGGAGACATAGAAAGGAAGAGACTTTCCGTCTACTGGTTTATTCTCTACGTGGGTGCAAAGATTGGAGCTGGACCAGGCTGAGACCAGGAGCCAGCTGATCCTCCTGGGTGTAGAGCAGGTGGGGAGTGGGATGGAGATAATGAAAGAGCGTAGGCACTGCCATCTTCTACTGCCTTCCCAGGTGGGTTAGCAGGAAGCTACATAGAAAATAGAGCCAGAGGAACTCAAACAAGCACTCTGATAGGGGATATTAGCATCACAAACAGTGACTAAATCTTGTAGGACACCAACCTCCATTTCAATTTTTTCAAGAGCTAGACTTTACAAAGATCAGCCTTGAATTTAAAATGTGAACAATTCTCAAATAATGTAATTTAAATATGAATTTTTGAAGGAAATAGCATGATGCCAGGTTGTTGTCATAATCAGCAGAAATTGAGTGCTCTTAGGGAAAATAATTTATATGTTCCTCCACTCGTTTTTAAGACAATGTGAAAATGTATACTCTAAAGTGGCTGCTTATTTTATAGGAATCCAATTTGCATGTATAGTGGTGATCCTAAAAACCATTAAGCTTGACCCTTTCTGGTAAAAAATAAGCAGGTTGATTATTATGCAGCGGTATCTAGAATCCTCTTTGCTTTTTAAGTTTATTTAGCAAAATATATTCTATGTTAAGCTACCTTATAATAAGACTTGTTATGCCTCTACTGAAAAAAAGACAAGAGCATTTTAATACCAGCATATTGTAAGTGAAATGACACAAAAAGACAATAATGCATGTTGATCACATCAAAGTCTCAGGGCCAGGCATGATGACCTAGTGGGTAAATCCTCTCCTTGTGTGCACTGGGATCCCATATGGACACCAATGCCTATTCTGGTGGCTCTGCTTCCCAACCTGCTCCCTACTTGTTGCCTGGGAAAGTATAATCCAAGTAGAGGACAGACCAGAGCCTTGGGACCCTGCACCGATGTGGGGGACCAAGAGGGAGCTCCTGGATGCTGGCTTTGGATCGGCTTAGCTCCCGCCATCGTGACCACTTGGGAAGTGAGTGAACCAGTGGACAGAAGAACTTTTTCCTTCCCACCGTGAATCTGCCTTTCCAAAAACCATAAATAAATCTTAATCAAGGGGGGGAATGATTCAAGTTAAAACCTCTTATATAAACCTCAAGTTTCCCCTTAGCTTCTATGCATGCCAATATCTATCTCTTTTCTAACAAATTTTCTATGAGAGACAGCCATGATTGAATCTGATCACAAAACATGTCATGGATATTTTCCATAGGTTTTACTTTAAAGCAAATTCTTGTATTGCTACAAAAGCAGTACGACTATTGTGTAAACACTGGAAAGCGCTACAGAAAAAATGATCCCATTTCTACTCGCCGAGGTCATCTCTGAAAACCTTGTCTTTCTCTATGTTCCCACACACAGCTGTGGACCTGAAGGACCATAAGAAATTTTCATGGAGACACGACTGCCAACGCTGCTGTGTTCAGTCTTTGATCTCCATCTTTCCATCTCAGAAATGTTTGTCTCGTGTAATAATTAGACTGCACTTCCATTTGTGATCGCAGAAGTCCTTCACTGTTGGAGTGACTGCATCAGGCCTTACAGAGGATCACCTGCTGTACATGGATTCTACAGCTCTTAAGCCTTTTTGTTTTTTTGGCCAAATACCTTGTTGAAGAGGCACTGATGGTTATTTCTTAGAATGCCTGGCATTCATGGCATTCCCTCCTCATCTGTCATTTACCCTGGCGCTTTCTTCCCTTCTAAGGGAATATTATGTAGTAGCCTGATGCATTCGAGTTAAGCATTTTGCAGCAGAATACATCCAGCTGATGTCACTACGTCTTCCTAAAGCAGATGGCAACATCTGTTTAACCCAGCAATAGTGGAATTACACTTAGTAGAATGAGGTAGCTCCGATTTTCATGGAAGTTTTTCCCTTTACATCAAACTTAAACTTCTCAAATTTCAAGTTTATTAAACTAAGAAATCTACTACTTTGGAACTCAGCAACATCTGAGCTGAAATAGACTCAGTCAGCAACATTTTCTCTGAAAGTACAATAATGCAAACTAAAGGGGAAAAGATTTTCAAGCACTTCAGGTCAATTAATCCTGTTTAATGGGATCCCCCTTTGGAAACTACTATAGCTAAAAGCATTAATTTTCTATCTGGATGTTTTTTAAAATATACTTTATAATTGATTCTTTTAAAAAAAAAGTTTTATTTTTATTGGAAAGTCATATTGACAGAGAGAAGGAGAGACAGAGATCTTCCATCCACTAGTTAACTCTCCAGGTAACCGCAATAGCCGGAGCTGAGCTAGGCTGATCCAAAGCCAGGAGCTTCTTCCAGGTCTTCCAAATGAGTGCAGGGACCCAAGGCTTTGCGCTGTCCTCCACTGCTTTCCCAGGCCACAAGCTGGGAGCTGGATAGATGTGTCAGGATTCTAAAGCTTAATATTGAGGATTAAAAAAGTAATGATGTTTGAATTCTTTTTCATGTAACACAGATGTGCCTGCTGGGATTGTTTCCTACTCATCTTGATTCAGGGTCCTTTAATGCTGCTTTGTCCTGAAGGGGACACCTTTAGGCAGCCAACACGCAAAGCAATGGTGGGCACTTGTCCATTTTCTTACTTGTAAGCACTTTTAGCATAACATGTAATGCTTTAAAGTGCTTCTCCTAATTTCATAGTCTCTGGTCTTCGATGTAGGTTTTTGATCCATTTTGAGTTGATTTTCTGTATGGGATGAAAGGGTTGAGGGCAGGGAGCAACAACTTTCAGTCTTTGCACATGAACATTCGCTTTTGCCATCACCACTTACTAAAGGAAGACACTCACCTTTGGGCACTGCTTTTGAAACCTGGGTTTGTTTCTGCAATCTCTGTTCTGCTTCATTGGTCTATG